TAATATTTCTAAGTTCAAACTAAGTCGGGGAATATCCTACATTTTGAGTAGAGTTTAATTTACATAAAAAAAAATTTTAAAAAATTTTTAGTTTATAGATGAGTTCTAGTAAAACAATTTTTCTTTCAATTATTTCAGAGTTCGATTGGATATGTTCACTATCGTTTATACGAATTCGGTATCTTAAATAGATAGACGAACGGACGTATAGAGTATGACTCCTGCCAGGCGTTCTTTTGCTGCTCCAAGCACTTGCACATATATTATATAGGGTATACTATACCCTGCTCTTCCTTATTAAATATGTTAAAATCAAAAAGAGTAAACAAATAAAGTCAACATTTGACAGTTACTTAAAATGTTAATGTATGCGTAGCATATATTATGTGAGGTACATTGCTCACCAAGCAAGGGGTAAATAAATCAATAATAAGTAGGCGTGACAACATATTGTAAACGCAATTCAATACTCACAAATACTCGTTTTGCTTCTGCCGGCGAGGCGAGGCGAGGTGTGGCGGAGGGCAGAGTGAGGCAAACAGAGACAGAAAAAAGAAAACAATAAAGGACAATAATAATCGACACCTAGCACAGGTGAGAACATTTCCAATTGTCACCGAAACTATCACGATAATTGTTTTCCATGTCGACATTTAGTTGATTGACTTTGAGGGCAATCGGTGAGGCCGACTCAGACTTGGGTTGCTATGCCAAATGTTTCGTGCCGGCAGAACGCAAAAGATGAAATGTTTCGTACAGTCGAGTGACGAGTTTTGACTTGTCTCGTAATTGATTAAATCTGATTCGCAATTCCAGTGCAGCCGGCCATAATCCAATGGCAGAGACATGTAAGCACCTGGTTTACGCTTGTTTAACAAAAATTTCAATTAAATTCTCTGCCTGTAGGTTATGTGATTGCATTTCATAAGCAATTTGAGACATTCGGAGTCGGCCACGAAATACGAAATTCGAAATACGGAGAACGAAAAACGAGAAACAAGAAACGAAAAACATTTAACAATAAATTATTTATGGTTCTTTTTTAAGAGCTGCCTGGCTGCTCAGATCTGAAATGTGAAAATGCGAATGGGCAAAGGCAAAACTTCTTAGCCAAAAGCATTTTGTTAATGAATGTATTGCAGAGTGCTGTGTGTGTGTGTGTGTGTGTGTATGTGTATGTATCAGCATGCGTATGCGTGTGTGTGTGTGTGAGTTTATTTCTGTATTCACGTTTACCACTTGACTGCTCACACAGCCAAGAGCTGGGTCTCGAATGTGCTTACATATTCATAAATGCATAAATTGAAGGTAAATTCGCAAAGAAAACATTTCACATCACTTTACATTAAAACTTTACGCTTCTCTCGCTCCAGCACTGTCTTTTTGCCTGCTCTCTCTCGCTCTCTCTCTCTCTCAGTCTCTATCTGTCGTTTGCAATGCTGGCAATTTCTGAGTATTTTCTTATGGCCACCTGCCACGCCCCCATCCCATACTGCGCATACCTCTGCTCTATGTTGTTTGCTTTTAATTTTCGAATTTTTGAAATAATGCCTGCAGTTATTTGCTTAAGTGTGCGTATAAAAATCAAGTATACGCACTGATAACGTACCATTCTAGCCCATTGTATAGCTGCTGCTGCCTTCACTGCCGGCAATAGATCAGTTTCTCTATGACTGTGTGTGTGTGTGTGTGCTCAGCCAGTGGCGTAGCTAGCATTAAGTGTATGGGGGATACTATTTTACGAAAGTTTCTGTATATAAAACTAAAGAGCAACAGCTTAATGACATCTAGTAAAGATAGTCAAACTATAATCAGCTGTCTTCAACTAGCATTGCTTAGCTTATCCCCTTAAGACACAGTCATGACTGCGCTTAGTTGACTGCCGTACTGCCTGTGGCCAAGAGTATTTGCACTTGACAGCTGCTGTTGTTCCCATTCGAAGTGAAAGAAGCATGCACTGCACTGTCCAATATAGCTCGAATATCAATTTGACAATTGGGTTAAGAAGTCCGGAAATTGCAAATAAAAACATCAATTACTGCATGCAATTTAAACAGCCATTATAATTTGGCTCACAGCAGCTAAACTTTAGCTGACAAGCATGAAATAAAAGAGGAGTGTGGGAGAGAGAGAGAGAGAGAGAAAGCGATAGTGTGTATGCTAGACTAGCTGATCAATTAAAGCTGAGAAAGAATGCGAAATGCGCATCAAACTAATCTAATTAGACAAACATCAAGACATATGCATGAGTGTGTGTGCGTGTGAGTGCTGACATCGTAAAATTAGTTTTATGACAATGCATAAAAATGTTGCATGAAATTAATGAGCAAAAATTAGATGCGAAAGAGTCGGAACGAGCTTTGGCTTTGCTCAGCGCAATCGTCCTCGGGCCACATTCAATGACCACAATTGACATTTATGATGGGGCGATGGTGCGGCGGTGTGGCGGTGTGGCGGTGCGGCGGTGCTGGGCGCGCATAATCGAAATAAAATGCAATTAATTGAATTTATTGTTGCATTTGTTTTGGTTCGCATCATTAATGTCAAGGCAAATGACTGGCAGTAAGGCCGAGAGCCAATCACATAATATGGCGCCCCCTCATCGGGGAGCGATTCGAGTATCCCTGATTACGCGTATTTGGGCCAATAAAGGGAATAGCATTGAAATACTATGTGCTTTGGGCAGCCAATGGGTACAATTCGTAAGTCATTCGAATGGACACAGCGGCACAGAGAGATGCGAGTGTCAGCCTGTCGACAGGTCCTGCATGGCAGAGCGACAAATTTATGAGCTTTAAAGTACACATGTCCACTCACCATAAATCATATGACAGCCGCCGGGGGCGGGGGCCCAGCTGACCGAGCGTACGGCCCGAGCCAGGGCCAGCAATGAGATGAATGTCCCTTTTGCCACGCAATGCAATTTTAAAATGTATTTCAAATATTGCAAACTGGCAACTGTTTGGAATCGCTTACAGCTTCAGACGCATATATATATATATATATATATACGTTTCGCATTATATTTATTATATATATCAAAATGTATTATGAGCGAGTAGTTTTCGCAGCTGC